TAAGATGGTAACATTACTCATAAATAATACTCTTTTATTTAATCATCAAATGTTAATTACATTTATCTATTATATGTTTCTAATACTATCTAATCTATACTAATATCATCCTTCAGCCCAATACTCCTAGCATGCTGCAAGTGCTTAACCCTGCTCAGTCCTTTCGTAAGCGGATCTGCTGGGTTATATGCTGATGATATCCTCTTCACCACGAGTTGTCCTTCTTCTACAAGATGTCTTATAAAGTGATATTTCTTGTCGATATGTTGAGATCTACCATAATCCCTCGGTTCCTTGGTCAAGGCAACCGCTCCTTCATTATCACAGAAAATCTCCATGGGCTCCTTTATGGTAGGTACAACTCCAAGATCACCGATGAAGTTCTTCAACCATATTGCCTCCTTCGATGCTTTGCTTGCTGCAATGTACTCTGATTCGCACGTTAAATCAGCTATGGTTTCCTGCTTGAACTTTTCCAAGTTACTGCTCCTCCATTCAGGGTAAAGACCCAACCCGACTGAGAATGGTAATTGTCCCTGTCGGTCTGAAAGCTGGCGTCACTATACCCTCGCACCTTCAAGTCATCACTCCCTCCGAGGACTAAAAACCATTCTTTGGTCCTCCGAATGTACTTAAGGATATTCTTGATTGCAATCCAATGTGCTCTGCCAGGGTTCCCTTGATATCTACTAACCATGCTCAAAGCAAAGGCTACATCAGGGGCGAGTACAAGTCATAGCATACATGATTGAGCCAACTGCGGAAGCGTATGGTACTCGGCTCATTTCTGCTATTTCGGCTTCGGTACTCGGACTTTGAGTCTTACTTAACTTGGCATTATTTTGTATCGGTAATTCTCCCTTCTTCGAGTTTTCCATACTAAAACGTTTCAGTACTTTATCTAAGTAGGTGTTATGACTAAGTCCTATTAGTCTCTTACTTTGTTCTCTCACTATCCTTATTCCCAAAATATAGGAAGCCTCTCTGAGGTCCTTCATAGTGAAGCACTTCCCGAGCCAGGACTTAACTTCCTGCAGCGTCAGGACGTCATTTCCTATGAGTAGTATGTCATCGACATACAGAACTAGGAAGCTTACTGTACTCCCACTGGCTTTGACATATACACATGATTCATCTTCACTGCGTACAAATCCAAACTTTTTGACTTTCTCATCGAAGCACAAATTCCATCTGCGAGACACTTGCTTAAGTCCATAAATGGACTTCTCAAGCTTACACGCTCTATTTGGATGCTTCGGATCAACAAAACCCTCTGGTTGAGCCATGTAAACATCCTCAGCCAATTTCCCAATAAGGAAAGCGGTCTTGACATCCATTTGCCAAATCTCATAATCATGAAATGCGCAATAGCTAGCATTGCTCTAATAGACTTTATTTTCGCAACCGGTAAGAAGGTCTCATCATAGTCAACTCTGGGAGTTTGAGTAAAGCACTTCGCAACCAATCACGCCTTATATGAGTCTACATTTCCATCCACGTCGGTCTTCTTCTGGAAGATCCATTTTCACCCAACGGTCTTACGTTCGGGCACATTATCAACCAAATTCCAAACTTGGTTGTCATACATGGACTGGATCTCGCTGACCATTTCCTCTTTCCATTTTGCAGACTCCGGGCCTGCCATGGCTTCCTTATAGCTATTAGGTTCCTCAAGATTTATTAGTGTACCATCACTAATATACGTGTCCCCTTCGGTAGTAATATGAAAACCATAAAACTGGGGTTGAACTCTAACTCTTTCGGAACGTCTAAGAGGTAAGGACTCGTCAATCGGCTCAACCGGAGTTTCCTCCTCGGGTTGCGTGCCAGCGGTAGAGGTTCCTTCATCTATCGACTCTTGAATCTCCTCAAGCTCGATTTTCCTCCCACTGTCTCCTTGGCTTATGAGTTCTTGCTCTCGGAAAACTCCTCTCCTCGCAACAAAGACAACATTGTCCTTCGGTCTATAGAAGAGATATCCAAAGGATTTCTGTGGGTAGCCGATGAAAATACATCGCTCACTACGAAGTTCGAGCTTGTCATGAGTATCTCGTCTTACGAAAGCCTCGCAACCCCAAACCTTGATATGTGCTAACGAGGGAGCTTTCCCTGTCCACATATCGTGAGGTGTTTTGGCAACCTTCTTAGTAGGGACTCGGTTAAGGATATGGGCGGCAGTCTCTAAGGCATACCCCCAGAATGAGATAGTTAGTGAATCACAACTCATCATAGAGCGGACCATGTCTAACAAGGTTCAATTACGCCTTTCTGCTACACCATTCAACCGCGGTGTCCTAGGTGGCGTCAATTGTGAAAATATTCCACACTCCTTGAGATAGTCGTGGAATTCAAGACTTAGGTACTCTCCTCCTCGATCGGATCGAAGCATCTTGATTTTCCTACCCAATTGATTCTCCACTTCATTCTTGAACTCTTTGAACTTTTCAAATGTTTCTGACTTTTGTTTGATTAAGTAGATATACACGTATCTACTATAGTCATCGGTAAAAGTCACATAGAAGCGGTTCCCATCCTTTGTGGTTGATCTAAACGATCCACATACATCGGTATGTATGAGGTCCAATAAACCCTCACCCCTTTCACATGTACTAGTGAATGGTGACTTGGTCATCTTTCCAAGTACACAAGACTCGCATGTGTCATCTTCCCTAAGGTCGAATGACTCCAACACTCCATCCTTTTGGAGTTGGGCTATGCGCTTCTTGTTGACATGTCCAAGACGACAATGCCACAAGGATGCTCTATCCATACTATTGGAAGAATCCATGCATAAAACATCATTTCCTAGGTTATCTACAATCATAACGGTTTCATAAATTCCATTACATGGTATTGCTTCAAAATATAAGACACCATTTAGATAAGCACAAATAGAACCATTCTCATTATTAAAAGAAAATCTAAATCCTTATCTAAACAAACCATGAAATGAAATGATGTTTCTTGCCATTTCTGGCGAATAGCAACAATTGTTCAAATCTAAACACAAACCATTCCTAAGAACTAGAGATTACACTCCAATCTTGGTAACAGGCGACGATCTTCTGTTCCCCATGATTAGATTTATTCTTCCATGCTCCACATCCCTATTTCTTCTTAGTCCCTGCAATTCAGAAACAAATATGGTAACCACACCCGGTATCGAGGACCCAATAAATAGCATGAGATGAATCATTAGATTTAATTGTGTATATACCTGTGAAAGATGGCTTGATCTTTCCTTCCCTGATGGCTTGCAGGTAGTCTGGGCAGCTTCTCTTCCAATGCCCTATTTTGTGCCAGTGGTGGCACTCTGCCTCCTTTGGGTTAGGGTTAGGCTTAGTGGGATTAACTTTGATCCCACTAGAAGAGGAACCATCTCGGGACTTTCCCTTGCGGTGGCTCTTAGACGGAGCCTTCCTCTTCTTGCCTCTTCCTTGCCCAATAGCCAAAACAGGAGCAGCGGGTGGATTGGGAGTGGGTGCAGCAGACTTGTCCTTCAGGTTGCTCTCAGCAACCCTAAGGAGACCTTGGAGCTTACTTAGGGTGACCTCTTCTTTGTTCATGTGGTAGGTCATCCTAAATTGGTTATAACACGGAGGAAAGAAGTGAAGCACCATGTCGATCGCCAAGTCTTCCCCAAAGTCAACATTCAACTTGCGAAGACGATCGACATACCTTTGCATCTTTTGCAGGTGCACAGTTAGAGATTCTCCATGACCCATTTTAGTGGAGATCATGTTAGTGAAGATCTCCTAACGTTCCTGTCTCGCGTTTTGATGGTATCTCTCCAACAAATCTTGGTGCATTTCGTACGGATACATGTCCTCATAGGACTTTTGGAATTCCACATTCATTGTGGCTATCATGATGCAATGAACCTTCATTGCACCACGTTCATGAGTCTCAAAAGCAGTCATTTCAGCCAGAGTAGCGATTTTTGGGTTGATTTTCTCGAGCTTCTCATTGAGGACATACTCCTTGTCCTCGTAGCGAGAAATTGTGCGAATGTATCTTATCCATTCGCTAAAGTTCGTCCCATCGAAAGTCACCCTTTGGCAAAGGCTCATCAATGTGAACGAGCTAGCATCAACGTTGTTAGCGTTCGACATATACAAATAAAAAGGACAAAGATAGATTAGAATTTGAATCCGTAATAATCACCCAATAAGAAAATTAGGGCTAGAATCCAACAACAATATTTACATATTAGAAAAGGGATGTCGTAATCTAACATGCAAACAATTTGAAGGTAAGTGAATGACGATTCACTAATTCTCCACCATAACTTTAAGTTCACTACAAGAAAAAATCCCTTTAATGACGCGCAAACAATGACACTCGCTGATAGAGGACGCGCATTTGTAAGTGCCCTAAAAAATACTGTCAGTTTTGCAAAATTTGAAGGATAGAGGGCACGCATTTGTGCGCGCCCTAAAATTGGTGTTAGAAAAGAAAAAAAATAAATGCGGAGGGCGCCTTTCATAAATTGTGCGTCATGTAAGTGTGTCGCTTTATAATTTTTAAGTGAAACACGCGTTTTAGGCGGGAAATGAAATCGACTAAAATTACTGGCGCCTATTGTATCCCAAAAATTAATCCCCCGCCTCTTCTACTTAGCAAGAAAAAGACCTAGGTCCTTCATCTTCATCTTCAGCGGTGGGAATACCTAGGTCGATTATTCAGGGTTCAACAACAAATTTGTAAACAACAATCATATACGATTCTGGATCTCGGCATGATTATGGCGCTTTGGAGCCGACGACATGAACATCATTCATGAGAAAAGTTCATACAAAATTCAAGAATTTCAATGGTTTTGATTATTGAGTGGGGTACAGGGAGGTGTAATCGTTTTGGAATCTTTACTAATTGAGTTGAAATTGAACCCGAAAAACTCAATCCACACTTCGAACATCTCTGATTCTCTCTTCTTTCGCTCCCCAATCTCCTTGGCGACGCTCTTTCCATTTCCATTTCCAACCTCAAACCACCGTTAAATGGAACCCAACAATTCAACCAATCAAATCGGCAATCACATCGACGATGATGGTGATCAGAACTCATTTCCAAGCCATCGTTATCAGATCATCACCTATTCAAGAAAGAGAAAACACTCTCAATCTCAGGTAATCACACTAATCGATTCAACACAAGTAAACCCTCTTCCGGAATCATCAGTTCTAGGTCTTGTTCTCCTTGCTCATACGTTCTCATACGATATTCAAAACCTCACTAAGTCTCTCCTTCTCGAAATCCTCGCAAGATTGCCCCTGAAATCAATTTTTAGGTTCAAATGTGTTTGCAAACACTAGCTAGATTTAATTTCTCAGCCTTCATTTTCCTGTTTCTATTGCTCGCATATGCTCACAGCAAGCGCATCGTCATCATCCTTACCTCAAAATTCTCGATCCTTTGCTCTTTCAAAAAAAGTAAGCAGGTATTTTTGTATGTTCTTGTGGTCTCTTTACTTTCTGCTTGTATTGATAATATTGAACATATGTTTTGAGAATAGAATATTAAACCCTAGATTCTGGAAACTTGCAGAAAAGGAAGGAGATGAGCTATGCACTCCAAGTGTTCGCAGAAATGCTTAAAAGAAGAATCTTACCTAATTCATACCTTATAACATTACCTGATGTACACAAGACCAAGTGATATGGTACCTAATCACACCTTGCACTCGAATGCATACAGGGCAAGCCTGTATTTATTCTTTTTCTTAATTTGTTGGAGATGGTAACTAAGGATCGTTCTTGTGAACATTCCTTCTTTTCAGGCTGTAGATTATCACAACTAAGAAATAGTTAAACTAAATTTTGTTAGGTGAAACTAGGTATATTCTTAAATTTCTTTTTTATAAACTTGGTTACATTGGTTGATCTGGTTTTTTTTCATGATCTTATCTAATTTGTGCTCTTGTAGTGCCCATGCACTTCCACCTTCATATCGGTCACTCATGACAACTGATGATTCAAGGATTCTTGATTTCTATGTTGATGGTATGTCCCATTCTAAGCTGTCTGATAGATAAATTTTGTTGCTTAATATCATTATGAACACTATTGATTATATACATATGTTGTTGTTTATACTCAGATTTTAATGTCGACACAGATGGAAAAAGATTTATTTGGCAGGTTAGGGGATATGATTATGGTTCCAAACGCCTATGGATCCCTTCAACAGCCATGTTTAATATGCCTATAATTTTCTTATGTTTCAAAAATATATCTTTTGTAGGGTATCTGCAAGTTTCCTTTTATTGATGAAGAGCGCCTTCTTGATTCAACAAAAATGATTAAGAAGGAACTAACTGTACGTAAGGCTGAATTATATACAGGACTTTCAAACATTTAACAAGGAATCTAATTAACATGGTCTTTTATCTTCAGGAGGAGGAAGCTGAAAGAAATCCTGAGAATGTCGACAAGTAGTTCCTACACATTTTAGAAAATCTTGCCTTGCGGATTATCACTTCCTTTAACAATGAAGGCTCCATCGAGCAAAATACATGCTTAAGGTTGTGTTATCCATTGTTATAATGCAATGATTATTCTTTTTCCTAATGTAAATATTTTCTTCTCTTGTTTCAATTTCAGTGGAGAATTAATATCATATGTTTGTTGGGGTTACATTGAGCAAAACAGTAGGCGGTAGGCTGATCGCATCCACCCTAGTCCAAGTATCTTTTCCACACACACACACACACCCTAAACTTTAAAGATGACTAGAATTAATATTTCATGTAGATGACTTTTTTTTTTGTTAAATTTCCTTTTCTCAGGAAAGATCCCATCTCTCCAACGGATCAATGGATGACCACAATCGTGGTTCGGGGCAGGTTGTGTTTTTTACTTGTTTTTTTTGGAAAGTTGATTACCCTTTCTATTTTTTCATTAATTTTCTGCTTTTGTTTTCTATTGCTTGCAGATGATGGATGGAACCCAGATCAATATAGATGTAACTGCACTTGGGGCTATAATTGCTTTGGGTCTAATGTACTTAAAGGTAACTCTTTGGCAGGAAGGATGACTATATATATTTGTTTATGATTTTATGTCAGCTCTGTTCTCAAGATTTACAACTTTGAAAAAATATTCTAATGACAGACTAAATTGCAAGCGATTCTATCCAGGCTTTGTATCCCATAAACACATTTTGAATTGCAATATGTGAGGCCCCACTTCATAATGCTCCATATCATTTCCAGTAATTTAATAATGTGGAGCAGGTACTGCTATTTAAAATTCATATGCTACATTAATATTCATGCTGGCTATATGTAAAGAGTAAGAGATCTCTTTAAACACCTTGCATGTGTTTTTAGGATTCATCCATCAGAAGATTGGATTCAGGGTTAGATACCCAAAGTAGTCTTGAATGGCATCAAAGGATTCATCCATCAGAAGATTGTGAGTACATCTCATCAAGAGACTAGTGATTACTTTTCTGATGAATCAAGACGTATACATTGCACAAAATGTGACCTAATGCATATATGGAAGTTGAAAAGCTGCTAACTGTGGCATACACTGTTGGCCTCCATGGAATTGTAAAGCTGCTAACTGTGGCATAGACTGCTGAACACTTAGACTTTGAAAAGCTGACTGTGGCAACTGCTGTTGCTGCTGGACACCTGGAAGTTGAGAAGCTGACTGTGGCATAGATTGGTGTCCACCTAGAAGTTGAAAAGCTAACTGTGGCATAGGCTGCTGCTGCTGGACACCTTGAGGTGGAAAAGCTAACTGTGGCATAGGCTGCTTCTGCTGAAAGACTAGATGCTTGACCATTTTGAGAAGGAAAAGCAGTTTGCGAGGGTCCAGGTGGAGGCAATATATCAGCTAAAAATGTCAACAGTTGAATCAAAATCAAAAGTATCCCCAAATCCCCCTGACCCTGACATTGGGTCAACTGAAAATGATGGTGGTTCAGCAACAGTTGTAGTGAAGGGTGATGTTGGTGGTTAAGCCGAAAATCCATCAGTAGAAGGAACAGCTTTGAAAGGACCATCACCAAACGGATCATCAAATGTCTGCAATCAATGCATAAAGAGTGTAAATTTACAACATAAACAAACTATCAATATGTGTGTGTAGAATCCAGCTTTTAAGACACTCACGCACCCGACTTGTCGATGAGGTATCAAAGGTGAGATAAGGATTAGTATTTGCTGGAGGATGAAATTCAGTGGTTATAGATGAAGTAGATGTTACAAGAGCCAAAGCATTTGAAGAAGAGAAAGACTCTGATAGAGAACCAAACAAATCCTCCATCTCTCCACCACCTGATCCTTGCAGGGCAGGAGCAGGAATAGCACCACGGGGATCAAAAAAGTCAAACCCATCGTTTTCATTGTTGACTGTCACTACAGGTGGTGGCGGCGTAGTGGTAACTGGAGGTGGTGTGGCGGCGGCAGCTGGTGGTGGTGGAGCAGTTGCTGTCGGAATTTCTTGATGGTTAATGTTCACTAGTCCTTAAAATGCTTACAAGTTAGACTAGATTCCATTACTTTATATATATATATATATATATATATATATATATATATATATATATATATATATATATATATATATTACAATTTACAAGTAAATAAATCTTCTGACTTATTAATTAATTAATTTACCTCTTGGTATCAACAGGGCTATGACCGTCACTCACAGCATCTTCATAACTAGGAGGCCCACCAACATTTTGTCCAGATGACCTTGGTTCAAGCCCCCTGCCCTCACCACTAAAAAAGAAAATTTTATTTCAATGTATTGTATATATATATATATATATATATATATATATATATATATATATATAACGAGGGTATTTTGGTCTTTTAATCAAAAAGCAGATATATATATATATATATATATATATATATATAGTTATGATTCAATTCACGAATCCAACAATTTAATCTAATTAAACTTTTATCAGATCAGAAGTTCCTGTAAGTTCAGGAGAGTAATGCCAACAATTGTCACACTTGGAAATGCTTTGAACCAAGGAACAACAAGAGGTCAATATTTTCATTTGTTTATTTTATGTTATTAAATATAATAATATTGTGTTATAGTTGATTTTGACTTTGACTTTGACTTTGATTAATTTGGTGTCATTTTAGACGCTGCTATTTGGTTCAGATTTGATTAATATGTTGTATGGAAAATAATTAAATTTTAAAATAACAAGATAATTGTGTGGATAATTAATTAATTTTTGGTGCTTGTTCACAAACTACCTGAACTCCTTGATTTCTCCAAGGATCTTGACAGTTTGGAACCTGCATCAAGGGTGGTGATCACAATTAATCTTATTCAAATATTTAGAAATTTAAAACATGTGTAAATGTAATTAAGAATTTATTGATTATTTATTATTTTTCAGGTACAATTAAAATATTTGGCAGAGAAAATGCAAGCTATTAGCAAAGGACTTGAAAAAGTTGTCCAGGAATTGTCAATGGCTGAAAATGATGGACTTGTCTTTGAAAAATTTCTCAAATTAAGAGTAATCAGTACACAACCGTTTATGTAGGCAACCTTAGCCCTAAAGAAGTACTTTTTCTACAAATATTGCTTAAGGTAGTGGAGGGCCTTTATGTAATGTGATGGATCAACCTCTTTTAAAGTTTCATCTACATCTAGTTTTATTCTTCTGACATGCTTTTTGTATTTGGTTTAACAACTGAGGATCATAATCAAACAAAAGCCTTGTGTTGGTGTAGGGCCTTTATGTAATGCACAACAGGTTTCCATGATGGCATGAAAGTGGTATTAAGTATTTACATTTTTATTATATTATACCCATCACATTTTCCCAAATTACCCCTTCCTCTACAATGTTTTTTTTGTTTCTGTGTATTTTGTGCATTAGGTAAAGTTGATGGAAGAAAGGAATATGAAGCCACTTGATTTAAATCCTGCAGCATTATCAGCAAGATGCAGATTTGGAGTTGAATTTGGCTAAGTCATTATTGAGTGAGATGGGCCAATGTACAATTGCATATCCATATAATCAGCTGTTTGGAACATTACTTTTAAAGAATTAAGAAAGGCAAGATGCAACTTTACTTAGTTGTAACTTGATGTACATAGTAGATTAGATGCAAATTTATATATTGTAAGAAATAGAATTATATGACATTAAATTTATGTAATGGATTCTATTTTTTGTATATGATATTTTATTTTCTATTATGAAACATTAAATAAAAATTTAATTTGAAAATAATTAAATCTATAAATAATATTTTTTTTAAACATTTAAAATTATGATACGCAAAAATGTGTGTCATCTTCATTTATGACATGGCCTT